GATGATCATGTCGTCTGTAAACAAAGGCAGTTTTACCTCTACTTTTGCATCTGTACATCTTTTCTTTCTTGCCTTACCTTATTGCATTAGCAAGGCCTTCTAGTACCATGTTAGAGGAAAGGATTACATAGTTTTTCAAATTCTATTACAGGTTATGTGAGCGGAGATGCTTAAAGACCACTCATCTAAAGTAGTCTATGTCAAGCCAACACTGAATTCTCTTTCTTTCTCAACTCCAAAGCTCAAAGCTCATAAATAAAGCTCCATGTCATCTCCAGGTAATGCGTGACTTACTGCTTTCCTGACTCTCCCATTTCTAAATTAACAAAAGTATCAACATGCCTTACCTCACACAACATGAAGGGTTTATCAGTTGGCAGTCACAGTTTAACCTAAAAGCCATTTTTATGAAAATAAGCCATTTTATTTATTAAAATAAGCAACTCCTTACTGTGGCTTAAATGCAGAAGACCATAAAACTTAGCCTCACCTTCCTATGAGAGATAGTTTTAGAGTGCAATATTATAGCCAAAAATATAGCTGAAGTATAGAGAAAAAAAGTGAATATAACCACTAACGGAGAAGGAGGTTTTGGGTGATCGATGCCCATTCTGCATAGCCCTTAAACCTAGTCAACCTGAGCAAGGTATGGTTAGACCATATGACACCTCTATGCAAATTAGAAACAGATGGTCCTCACCCCACCCTCATCCCTTCCTCCTGGAGATGCAGCATCATGATAGTTTGGAATGTCAAGTAGAGACTGCATTTCAGCTACCGTGTCTTAGCTCAGCTAGTTGCCCTTGTATAAACATATGCAATGACTCCTTGTGAGCCAGCCAAGAAAAGAAAGTTAGGAGAGTAGCGCTGTTCTGGGTTGATTACCTTGGACCTCTCCCAATCCAAGCCCATTTGCATTTATTAATCCTACACTTCTGTTCCTAGATGGAAGCTTTCATATTTCCTCCTGGCCCCTATTTGAAGTCTCCTAGCTTTCCTTCCTGGCTGCTTGACTTTGGCCTTCCCTGTGGTTCCTGGTCCTGCTCACTCCTTTGGTTTTGGTTCCCCTGTCATCTCGGGTGACTGGCTCTCCACTACAGCTGCTCAGGCCTCACCTCCAACCCCCCTTTCCCATCAGAGTAGCCTGGACCTTCCCCTAAGGTAGAGTAGGAACAAAGGATTTGAATGAATTCTCAAAAAGTACTTTAACTCATATCTAGCAAAGTTATGTAGTGCTTAACTTTGACGCAAAAATGTCACTTCTAGGGATTTATCCCAGAGTGACGGTGTGCAAATATACAAAAAGATGTGTGCAAGCCTATACACTGAAGCATTATTTATGATAGCAAAAGATGAGAAACAATCCAAATGTCCGCAGGTTGAACAAACTACGGTACTATGGTCCACAATTCCAAAGTGTGTGTGTGTGTATGTGTTGGGGGAGTGGGGTGTTTCCCCACACCAACAAGCAATTCTCTGACACCAGCTGAGGGCCCCTACAATTCAACTCAATTTTGACAGATCTACCCAGAGATAGTATCAGATTCCTTATGGGTTCAGACCTACACAACTGCCTTTCCACCTCAGATGCCAGTTACACTCGGACTTCTGAAGGACCCACCGTAGATCAAATGTTTCTAGGACATTTCCTTGGCTTCAGTTTGCTACAGCAACTCACAACTGAGAGAAACACTTTACTCCCTAGCTTAGCAGTTACCTATGAACAGGTGTACCTCAGGAACCGCAGATGGAAGGGATGCACAGAGCAGGGATGGAGAAAGGGTGCAGAGTCTCCATGTCTTCTCCGAGCCTGCCACTCCTAAATCTCTGGGGGTTCAGCAACCTGGGAGCTCCCTAACCCCATACTTTAGGGTTTTTATGGAGGCTTCATTACATATTTATGGTTGATTAAATCATGGACCGTTGGTGATTGAACTCAATCTCCAGCTCCTCTCCCCTCTCTGGAGGTTGGGGTGGGACTGAATGTTCCAACTCTCTAATCACTTGGTTGACTGGCAACCAGCGTCCATCTTTAGGTGTGATCCAAAAGTCTCTTCATTAACATAACAAAAGGCACTTTTCTGGCTCTCATCGCTTCGGAAATTCCAAGAAGCTCTGTGTCAGAGAAAGGGACAAAGACCAAATGTATATTTCTTACTATAAATCACAATATCACGGTTACATCCATACACTAATATGATATGCAGCTGAAAAAGAAATGGAGAATATTTGTGTATACTATTGTGATCATCAGGCTATTCGTGAAGTAAAAAGAGCAAAGTGCAAAACTATGCATCGTGTGCTGTCTTTTCTCTACAGTGGGAATGTGAAATATAAAAACCATCTGCATATATTATGTGTAGAGAGAGGGAGGGAATAGGGTGGAGATGACAGGGATGGAAACTAGGATTCCACAAATGTGTTCTAGTTCTTTTGTTATGGTTTTTTTTTTTTTTTTAGTATTTATTTTTATTTTTGGGAGAGCGCAAACAGGGGAGGGGCAGAGAGGAAGCCAGAGGATCCAAAGCTGGCTCTGCACTGACAGGCTGACAGCAGTGAGCCCCAGGTGGGGCTTGAACTCATGAATCGTGAGATCATGATCTGAGCCAAAGTCAGACACTCAGCCAACTGAGCCACCCAGGTGCCTCAATTGCATCTTATTTGTAAATTTGTTTGTAAATTTGGCATTGGGACCATGTAACTATTTCATAAAATTGTAACCCAAAATTAAAACAAAATGAATAAACTAAAAGCAAGCCCCAAGAATTGAAAGCAAAATGAAACCAATGAATCTGATGGTATATTGAGTTGGTGGCTTCTTTACACAGAGATAAATTATTTCGAATTATTATTGTCTTTTAAACTGTGGTTAATACAACAGAGAAGTTACCATTTTAACCATTTTAAGTGCGCAGTTCAGTAGTGTTAAGTATATTCACATTGTTGTACAACAAATTCCCAGAACTATTTCATCTTATAAAACTGAAATCCTATGCCCATCAAACAACTCCCAATTCTGTCCTTGTTCCAGAGCCTGGAGATACCATTATACTTTCTGTTTCTATGAGCTTGACTTCATTAGATATCTCACATAAGTAACTGTCTTTTTGTGACTGGTTTATTTCATTTAGCATAACATGCTCCAGATTCATCCATGTTTTCACTCACAACAGGATTTCCTTCTATTTAAAGACTGAATAATATTCCACTGTATATATTATATATGTACAGTATATAATATTTTGTTTATTCATTCATTGGTCAAAGGACATTTGAGTTGTTTCCATTTGTTGGATTGTGAATAATGCTGCTGTGAAGAGAGGTGTGCAAATATCTCTTTGAGATCATGTTTTCAGTTTTTCCAGATATATAGCCAGAAGCAGGATGGCTGGATATGTTGTAATACTATGTTTAATTTTTTAAGGAATTGCCATACTATTTTCCATAGTGGCTACATCACCTTGGTGCATTAATAGTGCATAAGGATCCTAATTTCTCCACATCCTTGCCAACACTTGTTAATTTTTTCTTTCCCTCTCCCCTCCACCTTTCTTTAGTAAAGCTATCTTAATGAGTGTGTGCTGGTGTCTCACTGTGGTTTTGTGGGTTTCTTTTTTTTTTAAGTAGGCTTCACACCCAGTGCACAGCCCCACACAGGGCTTGAACTCACCATCCTGTGATGAAGACCTGAGCTGAGAACAAGAGTCAGATGCTTAACCAAATGCGCCACCCAGGGGCCCCCTCATTGTGGTTTTGATTTGCATTTCTCTAATGACTCGTGATGTTGAGCTTGTTGGTCATTTGTGTATCCTCTTTGGAGAAATGTCTGTTCAAATTATATGAACATTTTTGATTTGGGTTATTTGTTTTTTGTTGTGGAGTTATAGGAATTCCTATATATATAAGAATTTTACGTATTTAAATATATATTTTAAAATAGATTTTAGATGTTTAATGTATATTATTTTAAATCTATTTTTATATATACATATATAGATATATATTTTAAACAAACATTTTTCCTGGCTTTGACTACTAAGGAAGTCTAGAAACCAACTCAGTGGCCATAAGCATCCCTAGTCAAAATTGTGGTCTCTATATATCATTCCCACTAAAAGTTTTCTTGGAAAAGTTGCTTTAAAAATTGCTAAGTCCAGGTTTGGCAAGAAATAACCTGTCACAGAAATTCTAATGAACTGTGTAAATACAAACTAGAAGACAACTAGCTATACACAAGAAGGATTGGTTAAATATTCAGATTGCATTGCTGAGGGAGGCCTTTTAATAGTATTAAGAATCTCAGCTACTTTGCAGGAACAAAGATCACAATGAGCATTAACAGTTACTGACATCATCCTTTTGACTTTTAAAATACATATGTGTAATTACTTAATATCTAACTCTCACTAGATGTAAGCTCCAGTGGGAGCTACAGTTTTTACCCATTGTTTCTCTAGTGCCTAAAATGTTACCTAGTATAATATGTATATGACTTTAAGTATTTTATTGTGTTTTCACTTTTAAAATTTACATTATTTCAGATATATTCTCATGTAAAATAACAATACGTTATTCTCTAGTTAACACACCTTAGTCTGCCAAGGCTTTCAAGAAAACTATTTTGATTTTATTTTTTTAAATATTCATTTATTTATTTTGAGAGAGAGAGACAGACATACAGAGAGAGAGAGAAAAGAGGAGGGGCAGAGGGAGAGAGAGAATTCCAAGCAGAAGTTTCCATGCCCACCATGGAGCCCAACTCAGGGCTTGATCCCATTACCCTGGGAACATGACCTGAGCCGAAATCAAGAGTTGGACGCTTAACTGACTGAGCCACCCAGGCGCCCCAAGAAAAGCATTTTAAAATTAGGACAGTATCTCATTCTTTGAGCCATTGGGATGAATTCATTTACTTTACACTCCTCTGAAGATCTTCCACATCTTCAAGATTCTTTTATTTTATGACAAAACCATAGTTCTAGAAGCTTGTTTCTCACACCTGAAAAGACTGGATCAGGGACATGATCGTGTAGAACATAAAAGGTAAGCCAGGTGGATCAAAACACAGGAAGTCTGAAGGTTGAAAAAAGGGCTGAGTGCTCATGGGTGGTGGTAGTTAGTATCGGGGTGTGAGAGAGATTAGTTCAAAGCAAGAGGATTCAAAGAAGAAATGAGTCCATTTACAGTGGGGGAGAATAATCAGAAGAGGTCAATGACACCAACCATGAAATTTCCCTGGGAAATAGACATAGGTTTAAGGACTATAAGTGCTGTGGTATTGTAGAGAATGTATAATACTTCTGGGGTGCCTGGCTGGCTCAGTCCACAGAGCATGCAACTCTTGATCTTGGGGTGGAGAGTTCCAGCCCCTCATTGGATGGAGAGATTACTTTAAAAAAAAGAGAGAACACAGTCCTAAAGACTGATTAATTTAAAATCTGCATAATCCAAGACAAATGTTCTCATAGAAATAAATGGAAAGCAGGGTGTATGTTCTCAGAGCTCATAAATCTATAAATATTATGGCAAGTATTGAATATGTTTTATAGATCATTATTCTTTGCTAAAGGTTCTAGAGTTTGACTTCTAAATTCACAGCATGAATAACTATTGAAGCAGCTATTTAAAGTGCTTTGGCAGTGTTTTAGTACATCTAACTTGTATTCCAAATTTATTATTATTATTATTATTATTATTATTTTGAGAGAGAGAGAGAACAGGGGTGGGGCAAAGGGAGAGAGAGAGAATCTTAAGCAGGCTTCATGCCCATCTGGGAGCCCAATCTCACAACAATGAGATCATGGGCTGAGTTGAAATCTAGAGTCCGAAGCTTAACTAACTGAGCCACACCTAGGTGCCCCTGTATTCCACAATTATTAATTTGAGGTATATTTCCCCAGCACTGGAACCACCATTTAATCAATGCTTGGAGGTAAAAAAAATTTTTTTTCATTTATAATAACCCCAGCAACACAATAATAAGCAAAATCACCACCAGAAGTGCTTCTCACCTTTGAACAACGGGATGCACCTCATTAAATATAGATTATTTCACATTTTGCTTGTAAGACAATATTTTTATACCATACTATTTCTAAATTTGCAGCCACATGGCACTATATGTGTCTTCTGGAGTAAGGAGAGAGGACAATAAAGAGATGAAATTGATCCCACTAGAAATGACCCCTCCAGCTTCGGAACTCTAAGACAATTGTCTGCAAATAATTTGTAATATCGACGTTGTTCTGAACCGACATTCTGAATTTTTATGACTGTGTGTTTTGTGTAAAATCATCTCCAGAACCACTCTGGTGACCATCCCTTTCTCCTACATCATTAGTGTTTTTCGCTCTACTGCATCATTCATATGAGTACAGTCAGTAGTGTAGTGGTAAATGTTTAACACCCAGCTTTGGGCTGCGGGGAGTGGGGGATTGCCCTAACTTGTAGTGGTTGGCTACGTCCCTGGAGTAAGTTCTTCCATTCCTGGCCATTTTCAAGGTACCCACATGGAAGAGACGCGCAAAATTGCCTCTTGCAAGCCAGTGTGAGCCAGCTCCAATACTCCCAAAAGTGTTCTTCAACCTCAGCTAACAATCCATTAGTGAGTCTTGCAAACATTTTAGTGGGTAATAAGCAGCACTTTTTAATGAAGAATTAGGACGTGTTTCATAACAAGGGTATTGTTTTGCAAAGTTTGTTTTCATAATTTTAAATATGTATGTAACAGGTCACAATGGAAATGTACTTTTTGTGGCTTGCTTGTTCAAAGTCTACAAAGCATCATTGTAGTATCTTCTCTTTTTAAAAACAAAAACAAAACTAAATCAAAATCTTTTTACCCCACTTCTTCCTTAGCTATCACGGTTTCTCTGTTCTTCACAGCAAAACTTAAAATATTGATAGTCGTGGTTTCTGCTACTTCTTCCCCTCACATTTCTCAACCTACTTCAGAGTCAGTCACTAATGACTTTCATGTTGCAAAATCCACTGGAAATTTCTATGTTCCTTGACCTCTTGGCAGCATGTGGCACAAGTGGCTGTTCTTCCTTAAAACACTTCCCTTCTTTGGCTTCTAGAACACCACTCCCAGCAAGGCTGCATGGCTGCTTCTTCTCAGTCTCTTTCATTGTCTTTTCTTATCTCCCCAGGGCTCAGTCCTAGATCAAATTCTCCATCTATCTATGCTCCTAGTTGACCTCATCAAATCCCATGACATCATCGTCTCCTTTGATATGCGTCTGCCATGCTTGTGGCCTCTCTGTTCCTGAACACACTGAATGCATTTCTCAGCCTTAGGGACCTTGTGTGAGCTGTTCCCTCTGCCTAGAATGCTCTTCCCCAAGATCTTCTATGGCTTCCTTTTTCACTCACCAGCAGTTCAGACATCACCTCTTCAGAAAGGCTTTCCCCGGCACCCAACTGAAGTAGCCACCCAAGTGCTCCCAATGACATCATCCTTTTAAAGTCTTCTCTGAAAATCATCACTATCTGTGTCCCCCATGGGAATGTCAGCCCCATTGAAACAAGAATAGTGAGTGAAAACCCTCTGTCTTCCTGGAGCTCATCATTTGGTGGCTGAAGTCATATAAAATTAAAAGGTAAATTATATAGCACATTGGCATATGGTTAAGTGCTAGAGAAAAATAAAGGAAAGAAAAGCGATAGGAACTGTGTGTGTGTGTTGGTGTTTGCAATTTTAAATACGGTGGTCAGGAGAGGCTTTGCTGAAAATTGATATTAAGTAGATTTTAGGGAGGAAAAGGAAATGTCAGATGCAAAGGTTTTGGGAGGGGTAACAAGCATACCATAAAAATGCCAAAAGGCCAGAGTGCTTGAGACGGTGGGCAGATCATGCAACCACGGGGATATCCACTCAAAGAAGGAACAACAGCCAGTGGCAAGTTGTAGCGGAGGAGTCACATTGTTTGAATTCTGTTTTGTCATGCTCCCTCTGGTCACTGAGTTGACATGAGATTGCAGGGCAACAAGAGCAAAAACTGGGAGACCAATCATGAGGCTTCTGCAATAATCCAAGGAAGAGATATGAGACTTCCATTTATTTATGTTTCTTCTTTGCACCTAGAAGTGTCCCATGAGGCAAACACTACAAACACCTTTTAGTATATGTGTATCCCTTATCACTGTGCCTTGTCATGGTGGGCACTCAGCATATATTTGTAAGATTTTAAGTGATGTAAAAACATACTGAGCTCATTAAACCAAACAGGGACTAATGAGTGGTTATTTCTAAGAATAGGTTCTCTGGTTTTGTGGATGTTTGAATCCAGAGTTTCTTCAACACTGGATTTCTGGCTCTTTTATTTAGTCACATTAGCGCTTAACAAAGCAATAGAGCACTGATGTGTATTTATTTCAATTTATTTTACAAAGGAGAGGTACTAAACCCAAGCAAAATTGTGTAGACATTTAACTGCTCCTCATCTCTTATTTCAACTCAGTATTTAGTGTCTACTTCATGCAAAGCATTACACTGAGCATTGGAGGAACTTCTAGGACAGGTTTCTCTTTTCAATTTAAAATCCATTTGGATAGATAAAACACAACCCGCAGAAGCAGAAGTACAACTCCAAGGTGGAGTATATCAAGGGCTAAATGCAACTATTTAAATCAAACTGGGAAAATGAATAGGTGAAAGAGCAAAAAGTAGTTAAGTAAATATGAACGTGAGTTCACAGGTATGGGACTTGTAATAAATGTCCTCAATTTAAATACAAAATAACAAGTAAAAAACAAAGCCACCAGGAAGAAAGCCCAGAGCTGTGAACCAAAACACGTCTTTCAAAACAAATGTGGATACAAATCCAGCAGACAAGTAGGAACATGAGAACTCTGTAGTCCCTAACAGAAAACAAACTGAAAGCAGCCAGCTGTTCAAGGTACGTAACTTCATTTGCATTTGTTTTTACAGCAAACTAGCGATCAGTGTGGGTCCTGGGGTGAGAAATCGGTCCTTTACTGAACATCTCCTCTGCTCGTAACTGTGCCCCATACACAGTCCAGCCCTACTGACCCATCCCCCCACCATTTCACTCACACCCCAGGGTGTGCACTGGCAAAAAGGGGCGAGTCCAAGTCGGGTTCTCTTTCATAGCACCATCTAGACTCTGACCCACGGCAGAGGCCCGGGCACCTGAGCGGGCAGAAAGCCCGGGGCCGAGAGAGCGTCAGCTTTCACCTTTCCAACCCATTTCCGTCCACACCACCGGGCTGGGGCAGCTGGGTGCGCTCAAGAATTTGTAAAACACACTCTGCCGCCCTCCCCCCCCCCCCCCCCCCCCGTTCGTCCCGCAGCAAGCCGGTCGCGTTCCGATCCCCGGAGGCTGTGCAGGACATCCGACTGGGGGTGGCCAGCAGCCGGCCCGGCCACACGCCAGCAGAGCCCCGAGCACGCCCGGCACACAGAGGCGGGGCCGAGGGCGACGCCCCCGGAGCGCGCGAACCGGGAAATGCAGGCGGACTGACTCCTCTCGCTTTCCGTAGCCGCCCACGTATCCCGGGATCCCGGAGGACGCGCCGCGACGGAGAAACAGCCGGGTGCGTGGAGCGCCGGCCACGCCAGTCCGGGGGTGAGTCGGACAGCGGCGGGTCTCCGTCGGGGGGGCGCTGCTGGCTCCTGAGGGGGGCGCGCCGGCCGAGGTGGGGATGCGGACGTCGCAGTCTCGGCGTCGGAGTTTTGCCTCTCGGAGGCACCCCGTCCCACCGGTCCTCTCCGCGGCAGCGTGGGGCGGGGTGGCGGGAAGCTCCCGGGAGGGAGCCGGTATCGGGAGCGTAGGGGGCGGCGGCCCTCCCTGCCGCCCCGCCGCCGCAGACCCTGCCTTCGCAGCTGCTGGCCCCCATGCAGATTGCCCGGGGCTCTTCTGCCCCTTTTGAGGGACAAGTTCTGTGCGTTTAGTGACAGACCTCCTTTGCTCTCCCGGACTCTCTGAACACGTTGGTGCAAGATGCCGAGTCATTTGATTGCAGTGTTAAAGTTCGGAAACGGAGGTCACTTGAATTGCTTTGTCCGTAAAACATAATGATGGCTTTCGTGAAGCGAATAGACTGAGGGGTCCGTCCCCGTGGATCCTTCGGGAATGACTGGTTTCATGCAAGCCTGTGACTTGAATTGGGTCACTCTCTGGTCGCGATGTAAATTATGAATGTGACTGTGGCATCTTTTTTTTTTTTTTTTTTTTTACAAATAGTTTATTGTCAAATTAGTTTCTACTTTTTTTTTTTTTTTTTTTACAAATAGTTTATTGTCAAATTAGTTTCTACCGTGGCATCTTTGTATCCTTTTCCTCTGCTCGTATTCTCGCTTCCTGAATTTTACGGAGCCGAAGGAAGTTTTGAGGTTTTGACTAACGTCTTAAAATTAAGGACAGGTTGGGGTCATTTAGGTGGCAAACCAAAGAAGGATGCAGTTTTTTTTCTCTTAATAGAAACTCATAGTTGTGGTTACTGCGTATTGTTCTTCGGTGTAATAACAATTGGCGGAAGTGAAGTGTGACAAGTTTTAGTTTCGTTTCTCTTTTAGTTGTGCTTGGAAGTCTGTAAGTCTTTCCTGGAGTTATTAAATGGGTACTTCTGGCAGTGGGGTGCTTTTATCCTTCAAGCTGTGGCTGTTGCACAGTTTTAAGCCACAGGGAAAACTGTATCATTGTTAGGCAAGGGATTGGACTTTTTTCTTTTTGACTTGTTTAATTTGTAGGAGGAAGAGGAATGCTTTCTATTATATAAAATTTATAAAGCACTTACTAGTCCATTGTTTTATTAATTCATTTAGCAATGAATTTATTAATTCATTAAGTCATTAATTCATTTAACCCTCAGGACAAACCTCAGGTGAATGCTATTATTCTCATTTTACCAATGGGAAAAGTTAAATATGTGTCTTTGGTAGTTGTACAGGACGATTTGCAATTATTTTATTTTTAGTAATAAATTCCACGTTAGAGAAATTCTAGGAATGTATTGGTTTACGTTTATTATTTGGTTTTATTTCTGATTGAGCAACTTCAGGATTTTGGTGGTAAAAATAAAGGACAGTTAGTGCTGATTTTACTTATCACAATTAACCTCTTTCCTTGTCTTTACGATATGATAAACTTGTTTCTCCTTTTTTTTTTAATTGAAGAGTGGTTGACAAAGAATATTGTGTTAATTTCAAGTGTAACATAGTGATTCAATATTTATATGAGGTTAATCTTCTTTGGAAAAATGTTCAGGTGTTCTGCTCATTTTTTAATCTGATTGATACTGAGTTGTAGGAGTTTTTAATGTATTTTGGATGTAACCCTTTATGGGATGTATTATTTGCAAATATCTTCTCCCATTCAATAAGTTTCCTTTTTGTTTTGTTAATGGAACCTTCACTATGCAAAAGCTTTTTATTTTGATGTAGACCCATTTGTTAATAACAAAAAAATTTTTTTGTTGTCCTTGCCTGAGGAGACATATCCAAAAAAAAGTACTGCTAAGACTGATGTCAAAGAGCATACTACCTATATTTTCTTTTAAGAGCTTTGTGGTTTCAAGTCTTATATTTAAGTTTTTAATCCGTTTTAAGTTTATTTTTGGGTATGGCATAAGAAAGTACCAACTTCTTACTTTTGGGTGTAGCTGTCCAGTTTCCTCAATATCATTTATTGAAGAGACCATCTTTTCCTCATTCTTGCCTCCTTTGTCTTAAATTAATTGACCATGTAAGCGTGGGTTTATTTCTGGGTTCTCTGTTCTGTTCTATAGAGCTTTGTGTCTGGTTTTTTGTTTGTTGATTTGTTTTTTGGTTTTGTTTTTTTGTTTTTTTACCCTCTATGTTTCTGTTTTTGATTACTGTACTTCGTAGTACACTTTGAAATCTGCGAGCATGATACCTCCAGCTTTGTTGTTCTTAGTCAAGATTGCTTTGGCTATTTGCTTTTGTTTTTGCTTGTGGTTCCATACAGATTTTACGATTATTTGTTCTAGTTACATGAAAAATGCCATTGGTATTTCGAAAGGGATTGCATTGAATCTGTGGATTGTTTTGGGTAAGGTAGTGTGGGCATTTTAACAACATTAATTTTTCCAGTCTGTGAACATGATCTATCTTTTCATTTATTTGTGTTGTCTTCAGTTTGTTTTGTCAGTGTCTTACAGTTTTGAGAGTACGGGTCTTTCACCTCGGTGATTAACTTTATTCCTCGGTACTTTATTCTCTTGATGCAATTGTAGATGGGATTGTTAATTTCTGTTTCAGAGAGTTCATTATTAGTGTATAGAAATGGAGATTTCTGTACATTGATTTTCTATCCTGCAACTTTATTGAATTCATTTATTCTGATAGTTTGGTGGAGCCTTCAGGGTTTTTTATATGTAGTAGGTCATCTGGAAATAGTGATGGTTTTACTTCTTCCTGTCCAATCTGGATGCTTTTTATTTCTTTTTCTTGCCTAATTGCTGTGACTAGCGCTTCCAAAACTGTGAGGAATAAAAGTGGCATATGTGGGCAGACTTGTTCCTGATATGAGAGGAAAAACTTTGAGCTTTTCGCTGTTAAGTATGAAGTTAGCTGCACACTTGTCATAGATGGCCTCTATTATGTTTAGGTGTGTTGCCTCTATACTCACTTTATTGAGAGTTTTTATCATAAGTGGATATTGAATGTAAGCAAATGCTTTTTCTGTATCTATTGAGATGTTCATATGATTTTCATTTTTCTTTTCATTAAAATGGTGTATGATTTTGATTTGTGGATATTGAAACAACCTTGAATCCCTGAAATAAATTCCACTTGATTATGTGTATGATCCTTTTAATGTATTACTGAATTCGATTTGTTAATATTTTGTTGAGGATTTCTGTATCTGTGTTCATCAGGGATATTGGCCTATAATCTTCTTTTGTAATGTCTTTCTATGATTTTGGTATCAGGGTAATGTTGGCTTTGTGGAATAAGTTTGGAAGTGTTCCTTCCTCTTCAGTTTTCTGGAAGAGTTTGATAAGAATAGGTATTAACAATTCTTGAAATGTTGGGGTGCCTGGGTGGCTCAGTCGGTTAAGTGTCTGACTCTTGATTTCAGCTCAGGTTATGATCTCATGGTTCATAGGGTCAAGCCTTGCGTCAGGCTCTGTGCTGATAGAGCCTGCTTGGAATTCTCTCTCTCCTTCTCTCTCTGCCCCTTCCCTGCACATGCTCTTTCTCTCTCTCTCTCAAGATAAATACCCCCAATTCTTGAAATATTTGGTAGAATTTGCCTGTGAAGCTTTCTAGTCCTTCGTTTATTAGGATTTTTTTGGTTACTGATTCAATTTCATTACTAGAAATTAGTTCCTTCAGGTTTTCAGTTTCTTCTGGATTCAGTCTTGAAAGATTGTACGTTTCTAAGAATTTATCCATTTCTTCTAGGTTGTCCAATTTTTGGCATATAATCATTCATAGTAGCCTCTTAGGATCCGTTGTATTTCCGTGATATCAGTTATAACTTCTTTTTCATTTCACATTTTATTTTTGGGGTCCTGTCTTCTAACTTTCTCCCTCCTTCCCTAACCTCCTCTTCCCTCCCCATCCCACCAGGGGAGAGGGGCAGAGAGAGGGAGAGAGAGAGAGAGAATGAGAGAATGTGAGAGTGAGAATGAGAATGAATCCCAAGCAGGCTCTATGCTCAGTGTGGAGCCCAACGTGGGGCTCAATCCCACAACCCTGGGATCATGATCCAAGCCTAAATCAAGAGTCAGACACTCAACTGACTGACCCACCCAGATGCCCCTGTCTTTTTCCTGATGAGTCTGGTTAAAGGTTTATCAGTATTGTTTATCATTTTACTATTTTTTGTCTCTCTTCATATAGTTCTGTTCAGATCTTTATTTAATTTCCTTCCTTTTACTAATTTTGTACTTTGTACTTTTTTTTCCCTGTTTCCTTGAGGTTTAAGATTAGATTGTTTATTTTTTCTTTTTCTTTTTTTTCTTTTTTCTTGAGGTAGGCTGTGAGCTTCCCTCTTAGAACTGCTTTTGCTGCATCCCATAGCTTTTAGAATATTGTGTTCATTTGTCTAAAGGTATTTTTTAATTTCTCCTTTGACTTTTTTTCATTGGCCCATTGGTTGTTTAGTAGCATGTTCTTTAGTGCCCACGTTTGTGGGGTTTTTTTTTTGTTTTCTTCTTGTAATTGATTTCTAGATTTCTAATTACATTGTGGTTGGAAAAGTTGCCTGATATAATTTCAGTCTTCTTAAATTTATTGAGACTTATTTTGTGGCCTCACATGTGGTCTTTCCTAGAGAATTTCCCTGTGTATTTGAGAAGAATTTGTAATCTGCTGTTTTGGATGAGGTGTTCTATGTGTATCTATTCTGTCCACCTGGTCTAATGTATCTTTTAAGGCCAGTGTTTACTTACTAATTTTCTGCCTGGATGATCTATCCAGTGATGTAAGTGGGGTGTTAAAGTTCCCTACTATTACTGTATTGCTGTTAATTTGTCCTTTTGTGTTTGTTAGTATTTGCTTTATATGTTTAAGTGCTTCTATGTTGGGTGAATAAACATTTATAATGTTACATCTTATTGTTGGTTTTATTTATCATTATGTAATGCTTTTCTTTGT